GGGGGGGCGGAGTAAGCTTATATTTGGGCCAGTGCCACTTCCAGATTCTGATTCTTTTCTTGGTTTGCACTATTTTACAACTTCTTAAGTTGCAGGTAACTAACAGCAATATGGAGTAATTCTTGTGTATAGACAGGTACAAAGTTCTGGCTGGCAGAGGTTCCACTGAATTCCCTCTCCCTCTGTGGAAGAAGCCAGGGTTGCAGCCAGTCAGGTGTTCATTCCAACATTCCTGATCTACTCGTGTGGCCTTTCCTTGGCTTGCCCTTTGAACTGGTGTCAGAGCTCATCCGTTCCCTCATTGTAAAGAGTTCAACGAAACTGGTCCTTTAAGTTGCATATCAGTGAAAGGGAACACAAAGAGATCAAGTTAGCACAAGATGGCTCTCTACTACCCAGGAAAACAAGCAAACAGTACACATTCTTATATGTATCTTCAGTATTCCAAGGGAGCTTTTCCATCTGTGAGAAAGGCAAAATCACCACTGCACATCTGGCCTGAAGAGTCCTGACTGCGCAGAGAAAGGTGGGCACTGTCCAGGAGCAACCCACATTCATCCATCCACTCTGCAAATATCTACCATGTCTACACTGAGCTGTTTTTGGTGCCAAAATGCAATAGGAAAGTAAAGAAGAAAAAGCCTCTTTGATCTGGTTAAAATTGATCTTCTAATTTCAAAAGGAGAAACGGAACCACTCATGGGCCCTACACAAAGAGATATATCATGATAGGTTAGGAGAGACTATATTATGAGTCATGAAATTAGATGATACCAAAAAATATGATATTTTCATTAGGTGTGCATTGGTCAAAAAGTCAGTTGTTTATCGCAAGTTGCGGGAAGCAGTAGCATCATCTGTTAATCTGGTGTGCAATCTGGTGACCAGAGGGAGACTGCCTCATTATCTAGGGGCCTCTGCTTGGGCAGCCCAATGCTGGTCAGAAGGAGGCTCTCCCAGGGACCTCACCAATTCACAGAGCAGCTGCCAAGGAGAAACAGATGGTCTACTTGAGAAGACAGTCGCTCTGCAGGTGGAAAGTTAAACAATTGGAGTATGGCAAACAATTTGAGTGTGTCCCCCCAAGTTCCCGTGTTGGAAACTTAATCCCCAGTGCACCAGGGTTGGAAGATGGGGGCCAATAAGAACTTATCAGGTCCCTGGAGTCAGCAGGGCGAGTTTCCAATCCAGCCGCCATGGACTAGCTGTGGACCTCAGGCAAGGTTCTCAGATTCTGTGTCCTTAGCTGAAAAGTGGGGATAATCGGCTATACCTCACGAAGTATCTGTGAGAATAAAAAGAGGCAACACGGTAAAGAACATTGATAGAGGAAAGTGAATAGTGGTTCCCCTAAACAGTTCTTAAATATTTACTAGCAAAATTATTCTTTTTCTAATATCCAAAATAGAACCCTAACAGAAAACAGATCAATGCTCCAGCTAGTCAGCTTTCCTCCCCACACGTTGCACCCCAATGATTCTTAAAACACTTTCACAGAACAGGGGTTGAAAAAACAACATCTTTGCCCAAGAGGACAATCTCTTCTGCAAGGTCCTGGCAGGGCATGGTAGGGCCGGTGTCTGGACACTTTGCTCCCGGTCCCCCAGGAGTCCAGCAGGGAACTGGGCTTCCTGTCAGTGGTTGTTGGCTTCATGCCTCTAGGTAGCTCCATTCATCTCCTCTCTGGAGCTGCAGAGGATGAGGAGGCTCCCCAGCCTTTCACCTGCACCCGTTGGGCTGCTTTGGGAAATAATAACACAGGTGGACCCTGCACGTAAAAGGAAGATGGTCCAACTGAGTTCCAGAAAGATCCACCCTGACCTTAGCAGGCACCTTCCAATTGCGGTCCCCTCTCCAGGTAAGCATACTGGATGAGGCCAGGCCTAAGAGGAAGGTGAGGGGGCCCAGGAAGCCCACCCTCATTTTTCCTGGGAGGTCTCAAATGACCTAAGAGCAAGAACCCAGCTCCATCCAAGGCCGGACCTTTGTTCCTTGGCTGGTGTCTGTGAATCTCTGACACACGGCCAGGCCTCTCAGGCCCCCAGCCTGCACTTGCTGTGTGGTTTCAGTCTTAATGACTGACACCTTTACTCCTCCACCATGCAGCGTCACAGCAGTGCTGCTCCAAGGGGACTGGTACAAGGACTCCCTGGAGAGGTGCCTTGGAGGCCCAGGCATGAGCACTGAACCGGGGGCTGCGTGAGGAGTGCTGTGAGGCTGCAGCCGTGCGTGACCAGATGTGAGGGCTTGGGGCTCAGGCAGGCCCTGACAGATTCAATGACTAGCCCCCCTCCAAGAGCAAAGGACAAGGACGGAGTGCACAGCCCCTGAGACTCACAGCAAACGCCTCTCCATTGTGAAACCTTCACTAACTCAGGTCTCACGAGCTTTCCTACTATTTAGTTTATTCCTTGATTATAATTCTTACCACATTCTCTCTTATTTTTCTGTTGGTTAAGCAAAAGCCTTTCAGATTAAACCGTGGAGGCAAACATGTGCTGTGTGTAACATGGTGAGAGTCCCCAAAGTCTAGACACTGCTCTGTACAGGGCCGGGCCGGGAGGACGTTTAAATGGAATTGGCAACTGCCCCACCCATGTCCCCCAGACCCGGTTGAGACCACCTTTTTTTTCCCCCCTAATTGCACACTGATATAGTGGCAAGGAGTCATGCAGCCTCAGAGATGGTGGCATCTGGCCCAGAGGAGACCCAGAGAATAACTGTTGAATGTGTGAATGAGTAAATGGGGACATAGGAGAGTGTCCAAGAGGGTGGATCCAAATGTCCTGTGACCACTGCAGTTTGAGTGAGCTGAGACTCAGAGAGATGGAGCTCGTTGTAATGAAGGGGGGCGAGAGGCCTGTGGAATGAGGCTGCAGTTCAAGCGGCCCAGGATGGCCTAGCGCAGAACTCAGGCTCTGCATGCAGACAGGCCTGGGCCTTTGGTTTACTAGCTGTGTGGCCTTGGGGAGTTTTCAAGCAGATCACACTTCTACCATAAAGTGGGACAAGAAAGCCAAGGTCACAGGGCTGCAGGGAGGATGAGACGGAGTGGGGGGTATACAGGCTCACACACTGCCTGGCACACAGTGAGTGCTCAGGGAGTATTTCCACTGTCACTGGGACAGCTGCAGTGGCACAAATTATCAAGTGGAGCAGAACTCCTGGGGCCAGAGAGCAGAGCTGGAAAGACTGGATCCTGGCTTCTCCTTTCTGCAGAGGGTCAGGACACCTATGGGCGGCTGAGCTCCTGCAGCCTGTTGTGACCTGTTTGCCCTGCAGCTTCCTCCTGAGGTACTTCAGGAAAGCCATGAGATTAGCACAGCTCAGTGACGAGGCTGGCACTGGCTAGCTGAGCCCAGCTCCAGGCTCCTGTACAGGTCAACACCCCCGGGACCCCAGATGGCAGGGATTGTCTGGAAGAGACACTCTTACTAAGCTGTTCCCCACTGGCACCTCCTGAGCTACCATCCTGCAGGGGCGTCATCTTGTTTTGCAAGCTGGGAAAGGGACCAGGGCCTCTACTAGGCTAAGCAGGTGCTTGCGCACGGAGCTACACCCCGGCCCCATCTCGCAGTTCCCATGGGACGCGTCTCTTTCTGTTCTCATCAGATGTAGGGAGTCTTCCTGGTTCAGAGGGAACAAGATAGAATCAAATTTATGATGTGACCGGCACTGGGCTCAGCATGTTCCACAGTAGCAGGCCCTGCTCCTGGTTCAGCCGCCTAGTGTCCTTTCAGCCTCGGCGCCTTGCAGAGGGACACCTTCCTCCTGTCCCCGTCTCAAAGCTTTCCCTGCTCCTCACCCTGTAGGAAAATCACACGGTTGGTCTCAGTTGTCTTCGTGGGATTTAACTTACAGCAGTGATGAGTGGGGACATGGAGAGGCAATGCCTTCCTTAAAGGGAAAGGACGGGCCACACCCCGTCACGCAGGGCCACGGGGGAGTGCCTGGGTCAGTCTGCGGGGACGCATGGCCAGAGCTCTGGGGAAGAAGGGACAGGCAGGTGGGGCAGCTGAGCAGGCTTAGCACTGTTAGTTCTTGGATAATGCTGGTGGGCTCTGGAGCACAGAAGTCTGGAGCCCGACCGCAGGAGTCTAGGGAGAGGGAAATTGGCTTGCCTGTTAGAATTGATCAGGGAGGCGGTTGGGTGTGACTTGGTTGCTTTGCCTCTGACAGGCGTCTTTATTAGGAAGTTGTCACTACCTCCAGGAATCAGCTGGCCCTAGAAGGGACAATCTGTCTCAGGCCAGGAAGGCCTCCTAGATGCCAAACCTCATCAAAATCAGAAAATAAAAAACACACTCAACACACCCTCTTCTGTGCCTGAACTCTGCCTACTTGTTGGCCACTTGGGATGGCCCCACTCCGTCCCCCGGTTGGGACCTCTGAGGAAGGTTGCCGGTCCCTCCTCACCTCTCTGCTGTCTGTGACCATCTGCCTTTTGTGCTCAGATGCTGGACGTCTTTCCCTGGGCGTCTGTCTACAGCTTTCCTGTGGCACATCTCCAGTGTCCCTGTGCCTGCCCACCGTGAGCCTCAAGAGCAGGAGGAACAGGAAGAGAACTGTGTCTGCCATTTCCACCCAGAATCCTTGGAAGGAAGGAGGCTGGAAAGCTCTCCTGTCCTCTCCCTATTCTCTTGCACCCTCCGTATTAACCCCTCTGTGGAACTTCCCTGGAACTTTCTCTAACTGCCTCCCCAACAGCCAACAGCTGTCCCCTCTCTTGTGCTCCAGGAACTTCTCAGACTCTCAACACCAGCAGACCTTGGCTGCCTGAAGGGCCACGCTGTGGGCATCCTGGAGGGAACTTCCTTCCACCTTCTCCAGCCCACAAGCCTTCTTACCTTCCCACAGCCACCACCCAAGGGCTCCCGCTCTGCTCTGGGTAAGTGACGCAGGCTCTTCCTGTTGATGTGAAGCAGGGGTTTTCTATAAACCGAGAGACAGACAGACAGACAGACACGAGAGCTTGACCTAGTGTTAAGAGTGATATTTTCTATTTCCTCACTCTGCATGATTGGAGGATTTTATTAGGGGCATTTCTAAGTGCTCATCTCTGAGCATCAAATGTTTCTCGAACTCTGCCCAGAAAGTGCACTTGGGTACATTTCTACTGCTGGAGTTGTGGCTGGATTGAACAGTATAGACTTCAGCCAGGCCTTGCTTCTGACAGAGTTAGCAAGGATTTTTTCCTTTATGGGGTCCTCGTTTCCTCTTCCATGAAACAGGAAGAAGAACCCCTTTTTCCTCCAACCGTGGACACGTGGGGAGAACAGACTGGATCTGACCCTGAAAGGAGGGTAAAGTTAGGTTTTAATGAAGTCTGTTTGCCTATTTTTACTTGAATTGCCTGTACTTTTGATGTCATATAAAAACCATAGAAACCATTGCCAAATCCAGTGCCGTGAATCTTTCCCCCTCTGTTTTCTCCTGAGATTTTTATGGTCTTAGCATTAAGATCTTTGATCCATTTTGCACCAGTTTTTATATACAATACATGCTGAGTCCAACTTCATTTTTCAGCGTGTGTCTGTAGAGAGCAGGGACAGAGAATGGGAGAGCAGTATCTGAGACTGGGGTCTCTGATGACCTCATGGCTATGGCACACTTGGTGCCTGGGAAAGTTTCTGTGCAAAGGCGTAGGATAGCTAGCTGCTCTGGCAATTCCCTGCATGAGAGGCTCTGTGCTAGAATCTTATCAGCTTTGACCTTGATCTCAGGCACACAGCTCCTGGGAACAGAGGAACTTTCTTGCTAGACAACCACAATGTTTCACCCGCTCTGCTGCTCCTGAACAATGGACTTTCTTGAAAGCTACACAAAGCTCCTGACATTGCATATTGCAACTGTAGAATGCCACTATGAGAAAGCTTCATAATGTTGCTAACCTTGTAACTTTCCTGAATACAAAGAATAATGCATAATGCTTGCATAGTCTTTAACTTGATAATGAGACACATAAATAAAGATCGCTGGCGTAATTCTTTAGACGTGCTTCTCCATCAGAGAGCAGCACTCTACCTGACCCGAGCTGAATCTTCAAAAGCATCTATACATGTGTGAGTCTTTATTTTTCTTATCCCTTTTTGCCCCTCGCCAGAACCTGCTAGTTTGGCCACATTGGTTGTGACATGTATCTACCCAGGTGTCTCAGCACCATTTGTTGACGTGACTGTCCTTTTCCCACTCATCATTTGATGGTTATACAGATAAGAGTTTATTTCTGGGCTCTGTATTTTATTCCAGTGAGCTATTTATGTATCTTTACAACAGCATCACATCATTCTGTTTGTTTGTTTTGTGATTCTAGGGATTGAACCCAGGACCTCACACATGTTAGGAAAGTACTCTACCACTGAGCAACATCTCCAGCCCCTTTTACTTTGAGACAAGGTCTTACTAAGTTGCCCAAACTGGCCTTTAACTTGTGATCCTCCTGCCTCAGCCTCCTGAATAGCTGGGATTATAGCTGAATACCCCAGTGCGTGGCCACCTCATTGTTTTAATATTGTAGCTTTTTAAGTCTTGTCATCAAGAAGTTTTAGTTTTCCAACTATATGCTTTTTTTCAAGTTTGTTTGGCTAATTGGAGTCTCTTGAGCTTGCATATGAATTTTAGAATATGCAATTAACCATATCATTGGGATTTTATAGGACTTGCCTTAATGTATAGATAGTCATCTTAACAACATTAAGTCTTCCAATTTGGATTTCTTTCTGTGTAGCTCCTTCACATCTTTTAGCAAGATTTTGTAGTTTTCAGTGTACAAGTCTTTTGCCTCCTAATTAAATTTATTCCTACTTGTTCTTTTTGATGCCATTGAAGAGTTGTTTTCCTAATCTCTTATTTGAATCCTTTGTTGTTAAGAGGACAGAAATGCATTTGATATTTGTTGATTCCATATCCTGCAACTTTGCTGAATTTGCTTATTAGCTCTCACAGTTTTTCTTTTCTTTGAATTATTAGGGTTTTCTGTGTATGAAATAATGTCATCAGCAAATAGAAATCATGGTTCTTCCTCCTTTCTAATTTGTATGCTTTTTATTCCTTTATTTTGCATAATTGCTAGAGCTTCCGGAATATATTGAATAGAAGTGACAAATGCACATATCCTTGTGTTGTTCTTAATCTTAGGGAAAAACTTTTATACTTTTGCCTTTTATCTCCATCATTAATGGAGATATGAGGTTTTCATACATGGTCTCTCTCTCTCTCTCTCTCTCTCTCTCTCTCTTTGTACCAGGGTTTGAGCACAGAGGCACTTAACCTGAGTCACATACCTAGCCATTTTTATTTTATTTTATTTTTATTTTTATTTTGAGACAAGGTCTCTCTAAGTTGCTAAGGCTGGCCTTGAACTTGGGATCCTCCTGCCTCAGCCTCCCAAGCTGCTGGGATTGCAAGCATGCACCACTACACTTGGCTCATACACAGTCTTTAACATATTCTGAACATTTCCTTCTTTTCTTAGTTCATTGAGAGTTTTTATCATGAAAGTATGTTGAATTTTGTCAAATGCTTTTTCTGCATCAATCGAGAAGACCATGCAGAATTTTCCTTCCTTCTGCTTCTGTGGTGTCTTATGTGTGTTAGTTTTTATCGGTTGGACATCTTGCATTCCAGAAGGGGTCTTCCTTGGTTATGATGTCTCTTCTGTCATGTGCATTTCAGTTCTTTGCACTAGTATGTTGATGATTTTCGCATCAGTGTTCATAAGGGATATTGGTCCGTAGTTTTCTTTTTTTGTGGTGTCTTTGTTTGACTCTGGTATCAGGGTAATCCTGGCCTCATTGTATGAGTTAGGAAGAATTCTCTCCACTTCAATTTTTTGGAAGGGTCAGAGAAAGACTGGTGTTAATCCTCCTTTAAATATTTAGTACACTTACCAGCAAAACTCCTTGGTCCAGGACTTTTCCTATTGTTTATAGTGCTAGGGAAAGAACCAGGACAGGTTAGGCAAGAGTCTACCCTTGAGCAATACCTCTCGCCCTTTGTGAGAGGTCTTTGAATCTCAAAATAAAAAGGATCAGGAATGTAGCTCAATGGTAGAATGTCCCTGGGTTCTTTCCCCATCACTGCAGAAACCAAAAACAAACAAACAAACAAAAAACCCCACCATTTTGTGGCTTAACATATGGTCTATTTTGGAGAATATTCTATATGTGTACTTTACGAACATATGTATTCTGCTTTATGGACTATTTGGTGTGTGTTTTATATATCCATTTGATGTGTCATGTTGTTCATGCCCTCTGTTTCTTTATTGCTCTTCCATTTAGTTTATATATTATTAAAACTGGAGTATTGAAATTATCAACTATTATTGTCAATTTACTATTTATTCAATTCTGTCAATGTTTGCTTCATATATATTGGATTCTGGTACTTGGTGTTTGTAAGTGTTATTTCCGTATTAGTCTGTTTTCTGTTGCTAAAACAGAACTCCTGTGGCTTGATAATTTATAAAGAAATTAGGTTTGTTTCACTCACCATTTTAGAGGTTCAAGAGCATGTTGCCAACATCTGCTCAGCTCTGGTGAGGGGCCCCTTAGATCTAAAGTAAATCTATTGTAAACAGCATATAGTTGGACCGTGTTTTTTAATCCAATCTGCCAACTAACTTTTTTCCCCCTATGACTTTGGGGAAATTAAGTAATTACTTACAGGCAATCAGTTCTTTCTTTTCTTTCTTTTTTTTCTTTCTTTTCATGAATGAAGATCTTCATGTTTAGTTGGTTTTTCTTTTTTCTTTTTCCCCTGTGCTAGGCACTCATTTCCTTTTGTGTATGCCGTATAGATACATTTCGTGGTCACCATGTAGATTGCACATAACATTCTAAACCCATAAGAATTCAGTTTGAGTTAATACCAACTTAATTTCAATCACACATGAAGGCTCTATTCCTGTAAAGCTCTATGTTCCTCTCCATTTTATGAAACGAGGCCACAGTTTACCTCTTTCTGTATTGTATACCCAATGACATTGATTTATGATCATTTTAATTCATTGTCTTCAAGTCCTGTATTTAAGAAGTGGAGTTATAAACCAAAATTATAATAACTCACTTTTATGTCTGCCTATGGGTCAACCCCAATGAAGGACTTTTTATCTTGAACTAATTTCAAGTTACCATCTGAAGGACTTCTGTTGGCATTCCTTACAGAGCAGCTCTCGTGGTGATGAATTCCCTCTTTTCTTTCTTCTTCAGTTCTGGGGATCCAAACCAGGGCCTCATCTGCACTCAGCAGGGACTTCACCACTGAGCTACACCCTCGGCCCCTCCCTTCAGCTCTTGTTTACCTGAGAATTTAATTTCTTCCTAATTTTTGGAGGCTAGCCTTGTTGGGAGTAGAATTCTTGGTCCTTACTTTGTTCTTTTGTTCTTTTAGCACTTTAAATACCAATTCCTGCTGGCCTCCAAGATTTCTGCTGAGCAATTGGCTGGTAATTTTTCAGCAGTTTGCTTCTGTGTCTCAGAGTAGGTCTCCTTGAGCTGATCCTACTCGGGATCTTCTGAACTCCTTGGATTTTTAGATTCATGTCTTCAAGTTTTGGGAAGTTGTGGCCATTTGTCTTCAAATAATCTCTCTGTTTTTTCTCCTCCTGTGTCTTAACATCTGCAAATGTTGGTCTGCTTGATGGGACCCCAGAAATCCTGAGGCTCTCTTCACTGTTCTTCATGCTTTTTTTTTTCCTTTTGGTCCTCAGAATTGATGATCTAAAATGTCGACACCAATTCTTTCTTCTACCTGCTGAAATCGGCTCTCAAATCCTTGAGCTGAATCTATCACGTCCATTATTATATTTTTCAGCTCCAGAATTTCCCCATGGTTCCCGTTTGTGATTTCTATCTCTTTGTTGACATTCTAATATTGTTATGTGGCATTTCTTGGATTTCATTTCATTTTCTGTGTTTTCCTTTAGGTTTTTGAGCATACTGTCGTTTTAAAACTCTTAGTGTACCAAGTCTGATATCTGGGCCTATCTAGGGAATGATTTCCATCAATTAATTTTATCTCTTTGAACCGAGTGTTTTGCCATTTGGTTTTCTCTCTGTTTTTAGTTTTTAAATTAAAAATATATATATATCTTTCTTGTTGGTGATTTTGTTGTTATTGGAAACTGGGCATTCGAGGGGAGACATGGCCCCTTCTCCCCATGATGGCTGGCAGCTCTGTAGGGGCCTTCCTCAGTTCTCTGGTCTCCGTCTGAGCCTAGGGATTGGTGGACATGGAAGCTCTCTGGCCTTTCTCAATTTTATTTTGAGACAGAGTCTTTCTAGATCACTGAGGCTGGCCTCGAATTTGCCCTCATCCTGCTTCGGCCTCCCAGACAGGTGGGATCGCAGGCACGTACCGCTATGCCTGGCTTAAGTCACCAGTGCAAAAGTGTACACGTCCGTTGTTTTCAGATTATGTGCAACTAATCACACAATTTTAGAACATATTCATTGCCTCCAAAGAAAACCCCATACCTTTTAGCCATCATCCCCAAACCTCTCATCATCTCCTGCCCCCACCCAAAGCTTTAGCAGCTACTAGTCTGTTTTCTAACCCTACATATTTGCCCATTTTGGACATTTCATGGCAGCAGGATCATATCTAGGGAGTCTTCCCTTCACCCTCGCTTACCCCACCCCCTTACCCTGGCTGTAGAAGGCACAGGACATCAAGGGGAGCAGGAGCAGGCAGACCCCTGGACAGGTCCCAAGCTGGCGTTGCACCCTGTGGCTGCGATGCCAGGACTAGGGGAAGGACCCGAAGCTGTTGGCCTATAAAACAAAGTGTCCCAGGACTCAGGCACCAGATGGGAGGTAGTCAGAATGAGCAAGGAAAGAAAGGAAGTGTTCAAGGACCAGAGCGAAGGTGGGAGTAGCCGGAGAGCAGGAGTGAGGGGGGTTGCCATCAGAGGGCACGGATGCTGGGATTTCAGAGCTGAGTCAGTTCATAGTGATGGCTGTGTCCAAAGAGAGCGTCCATAGGGAAGGACTTCAGAGGGGAGGGGAGGGCGGTGTTGGATGAGGCCAACTCACAGAGGCAGGAGATAGATCAGGTGGGGGGGCTGCGGGGACAGTAACTGCTAATGACCACAGGACTTCTTTGGGGTGATGGAAATGTTCTGTAGTTAGTGGGGATGGCTGCCCAATTCTGTTAATACGCTAAAGCCCTCTGAATTGGACATGTTCAGAGAGACTTTTACGGGTGTGACTTTTATCCTGATTAATAGTTTTATTAAGAATGAAAGAAAGGCCCGGCACAGTGGCGCAAGCCTGTAATCCCAGTGACTCAGGCGGCTGAGGCAGGAGGATAGCAAGTTCAAAGCCAGTTTCAGAATTTAGCAACGTGCTAAGAAACTCAGTGAGATCCTGTCTCTAATGAAATACAAAATAGGGCGGGGGATGTGGCTCAGTGGTTGAGTGCCCCTGAGTTCAATTCCCAGTAACCCCCCACTCCCCCCCAAAAATGAAAGAAAAAATAATAAGGGGGAACTAGTTCACTACAGTTCAGGTATGATGGCAAAACCAGACCTGGTTGTGAAGTGAAATTACAAAAATGTCATGGTAAGAAACCAAAGCCCCGGGAAGGGGTCAGTTCCCCCCTCTCGCAGCCTTCTCCAGGAAGCCCGACTGACCATGGGAGTCCTACTCTCCCCTTTGAAACGTAAATGCACCTGTGGAAGCTCGGGCCTCCTCAGAGGAGCCAGTTCTTCCCCTTATCACACTCTTCTTCTGTAAACATGCTTCTGTCCAGAGAAACCCCCGAGCACAACCTTACATCAGGCAGGCTAGAAAATTCATGACACCAAACAGCCTGTCAATGTCTGAGAAACTGGATGGAGCTCAGGATCTGGAGTTTCCTTTTCCTCTGGGTCGGCCAGTGTTAAATCAAGTTCGGAGTTCTCCTCCTCTCTGAGTGCTGCTCTCTGCTTGGCAGCCAGTGGGTTTCCTGCAGCGCGGGGAGCCCAGCAGGCACCGGGGAAAGGTTAGGGAGGAAAGAGGGAAAGTGAGTCTGGGCAGGGAGAGGAGGTGAGCTGGGCCGGGGTGGGAGGGGTCAGGCTCAGCAGGACAGGAGGGATGAGGTGGGGTTCCAGAGCATAATCCAACAGGTCCCAGTGGTGGGAGGGACCACGGCAGCTCTGGAAGTCCACCTGGCCCAGAGAGGGTGCCTGGAGGCGGCCCCAGTCCAGGTGACTGAAGAGGGGGGCGGGGCACTTGGGGAGCCAGCCCTGGGAGATTCCAGGAGCGAGGCAGGAGTCTCCTCTGCTGCTGGGGACAGGGAGCTGGACTCCCCAGGCTTGAACCTGGCCCCCAGATGGTGCACTTCAAGTATGAAGCCCCGTCCTGTGAATCCCCCAGGGAAAGATCGGGTTTGAAAAAGCCGAGAGCCACCGCCTCCTGTCAGATTCTCTGTAGGAAAACAAGGCAGAGAAGGTTAGATAAATAAGCAAAGGGATCCAGGGCCGGGGGCCAGGCTGAGTGACTAGCTTCCCACCGATGTTGCTGGAGAGCTGTGAGCTGTTAAGTGAAAATAAGGACTATCAGAAACAGAAATAGCAAGCTGGTCATGCGCTGAGACACGTGTTTTGCTGAGCATCTGTACACTCGAGGCGTGGAGCATGGAATGCTAGACAGACTTGGCACTGCCCCCAGAGGCTGCTCGGCTGAGGTCTGCGCGGGGGTGGGGCTACCACTAAGCAAATAAGTACGAGAACTTCATCGTCTCATAGGAAACGTAGGAAGGATAAGGTAAGGAGAGGGAGCTCTGGTTGTGTCTCACAGGAATGTCATCGAGCCTGGGGTCAGAGCAAGTTTCACTGAGGAAATGACCCCAGAGGGGATGGGCTGTGGGGGATGGTGCCTACAAAGGCCCTGGCACAAGGAGGAGCTCCAAGGACCAGCTGGAGTTAACCTGCCAGAGGGGGAAGGTGGAGACGGCTAGAGAGGCAGGAAGAGCCAGATTGTGCAGGGCATTGTGGGCCACTTGGAGGATTCTGAGCCTTATCCCATGGGAAAGGAAAGCAGGAAACTTAGGGTGTAAGTGGGAGGTCCTTGAAGCAGTAGCAGGGGACAGTGGAGCAGAGCAGTTAAGAGCATGGACTCTGGAGTCAGATTGCCTAGGTTCAAATCCCAGGTCTGCCACCTATAGTCTGTGCAACCAAAGTCAGGTAAACTAACCTCTCTGTGCCTCAGTCTCCTGCCTTATAAAATAGGGTGGCTATGTATCATATCTACTTTATAGGGTTAGCATGAAGATTGAATGATTAAAGTGTCTGGCACACAGAGTGAGGAGGAATCGCTGTCATAAGTGGGCTTGACAGGAGCAACCCTGGCTGGGGATGCTCCCCCATCTCCAGGCAGACATTCTGTCGGGGCTAAGAGCTATTGGCACCCAGGAGAGTTCTAGCTTCTGTAGTGGCTGCCACTTTGAAGACAAGGGTCTCTTGGCCTTGGTGACCATTCTTCTTGCATTGTCCTCTGGTTCTGACCATCCTGTGAGCTGCAGGAGGATGGGGACGTCACTCAGCACACACCCTCCAGCTCAGCAGGTGACCAGGTGAACGAGTGGCTGACTGGCTGGGTCTGTGACACAGCTGGACTCGATGAGGGGGCTTCTGTTGGACCCTTTCCACCGGGGGAGTCAGCTCCCTGCAGCTGTAGGAGCCTGGGGATGGAGGACCGCGTTTACTCTGCAGCCCCAAAGGCGGGCTCTTTGCTGGAGGTTGGGATCCTGGAAGCAGGAACTGAACCAGGAGGCAGGAAGCAGTCGCTCTAGAGACTGAGAGGCATGCCCTCGAGCGATGATCTCACGTTCTTACCAAAGCCCCAGATGATGGGGCCATTTCTTTCACTTGCTTCTGAAAAGGATGAGTGGTAGCTCCCAGCCGGGCTGGCGGAGCACCGTCCTGCCACGGGAAGGGCTGCTGGGGAGAACTGGGCTCTGGCCCCACAGGCTCCCCCCCCAGCCCCACCCAGCTGGCCTGTTCCTGAGAGGAGGCAGGGTCGCTCAGGAGCCCCTTCCCCCGACACGGTGCTGGGGAGGTGCTGCCTGAGCCCAGCCTCCTCTAGAGACTATTATTTTGGGAGAGTGCTGAGCTCAGCACAGCTGCAAGTGCAGCCAGACACAGGCACCCTCTGTCCCCAGCTGGCCTTTCGGAGCTGGCCTGGGGTGAGAAGCCCTCCCCCTCCCCTCCTACACAGGGTTACCCTGTCCAACCGTATCCACCTTCAGATGGCCCAGAGGCTCTTCAGGTGGTGGAGGAACCGAGGGGCAGGCAAAGCAGCGTGGTCTGTGGGGACGCAGCCCAGCCAAGCCACAGTCCCTGCCCCCAGCCCCAAGCCTGAGGCTGCCAGCCCCCAGGGCCAGGCCAGAGCCGAACCTGGGGACTCTGTAAGCCCTCCTCACAGTGGGCTCTCTGGCCTGGTGGCCAGGACAAGAGTGACAAGAAAGCCAGCCCTGCCAGGGGCGGAACCTCTGTCAGGACTGCAAACAGCCCAGCTTGGGGCAGGGCCAGGTCCTCCCAAGGTGCCCACGTCCATCCGTCCATCCGGGTGGAGGATTAGCAGCTGGGGCCCAGCCAGTGTGGGTGGGGCTGCTCCCCAGCTGTGCCCTGCAGGTGGCCCTGGGGTGGGGGCTGGGCCGTGGGAACAGAGCCCCTGCAGAGGGTCCCGCTGCTCTAGTGGCTCTTTGTGTTCCAGGTGCCCCACGCTGGACCATGAAGCTGGCCACAGCAGCCCTGTTGCTGGGTCTCGTGATGGTGGCCGCTGGAGAGGAGGAGGAAGAAAACGACCCGTGTGTGTATGAGAACCTGCCCTACCAGGACACCGGGCTGTGCAAGTAAGCGGCGGGCGGCCGGGCCGGGCCACCAGGACAGGGCAGCACTGAGTCCAGGCTCTGTCCCCCCTTCCAGAGGACTGCAAGTGCAGCTGCTCCCTCAAGGGCCTTGGCAGCCGGCCTCACCCTCCCCTGGAATCAGAAGGGCTTTGTGGGTCCCGTGGGGTGTCTGGGCCTTATCCCAGGAGAAGAGTCACACAGGGAACACGGGAGCCTCCGGGGAGGACCACAGAGCAGCGGCAGGGGACAGTGCCTCAGAGAAAGGCCCCCTCCTTGCAGCCCAGAGGGTCCCTCCCAGGCGCCACTCCCGGCCAAGTGGGCACGTTGAGGGAAAATGGCATCAGGCAGAAGGCACGTGACCGGCCCCCAGCGAGAGAGGCTTTCTGTAACGGGCCACAGGTGTGTTTGGCCAGGGGCCCCGCTTTGGGGCATGGGACCAGATGGAGCTTCGGCCCTTCCCAGGACACGGATTTCTCCCGCTCTGGGATCACACATATTTTGGTCATCTTAGCACATTTTAAAAAACCTTCATAAACACCACTGCATGGACTTTCTGTGGGAGAAAGGAGAGGAATGAGGCTGCCTCCCTCTCACACGGGAGCTCGAGTTCCAGTTTCTTGGGCGACCTGCAGAGTGGCCCCAGGGACAGCAGGCTTCTGAGCCCCGTGCACACAAGGTCCAACTCCCCACCTGCTGAGGGGTCTGCCGAGCAGGCGAGGCAGGACCAGGCTAGCATCATGGCCCCCTTGTTTCCCACACCCTGGAACACAAAAGAGATGGTAACATCTGCATGTCCCCTGGAGGTGGCCAGCTGTGTGTGTGTGGGGGGTGGGCCCAGGTCCTTTGATCTTCCCTGCTCCCTGATGACCCGTTTGCCTGCTAGGCCATGAGGCACCTGCTATGTCAGACAGACACTGTGCCCGCACGTGGGCTCCTGGACATGCTTGACTGTCTCAGTTGACATACAAAGGAGGAATCACCTCCCCACTTTGCAGAAGCAGGGACAGAGGAATCTGTATGCAGCTTGGGAGAGGCAGAGGCCCCTTCCACCCCTGACCCCTCCCTGACTCTCTGCTCCTGCTCTTCCCCCTCCTATCTCTGGTGCTCCAACTGGAATAAAGGGGGCTCATTCTCAGGGCTCTGGGAAGATGCCCGCCACCCCCAGTTTGAAAACTATGGACTTAAAACACTGAGGGTGAATGCTGGGAAAATTATAAGCCATCCGCGCAAAGAGGAAGCCCTGTCCTGGTCACTGCTTGGAGACGGTGATCCATAAGAGAGGACCACGGGAATGAAGATGCTTCACGGTGGCCCCCAGGAGAGAGCAGCACCTCCCACCTGGCCCCTGCCCAAGAGCCCTCTCAACCAGGCTTCTGACCTCCACAAGGGACCCTGCCCCTGTCACAGGTATTTGGAGCCTAACAGGGAATTCTGCAAGGCAGGACTCAATACCTGACGGCAGTGATCTATAAAGGAGGAGGTTTATGCTGAGTGACAAGCCATGAGAAAGCACCATGAAGAGAACAGCATTTTAGGAAGAAGAGCTTGGGGACGTGAGGACCTGGACTCAGTCTCAGAATCCAAACAACCGCGGTGGCCCCACCCCACACCCAGTGGGTGGATCCCTCCCCGGCTCCCTGGAAGAGCCCTGCCCTTCAGGAAGCGCACCCTGGTCTCCAGGCTTGGGGGCTTCTCTTTGACGTCAGCCCGTTGTTTCTAGTTCTGACCCAGAGGCTGCACAGAACAAGTAGGTGCTTCCTGCTGGTCTTTCTCTTTGGAGCTGGACACCATGTCCCCCTGTCCACCCAGCTCTTCACCCCACCTTCACTCCAGCCCTCAGTGCCTCCCAGGGGCCAAGGTTCTCAGCCTCCACTTTCAGGATGGGTTAGGGGGATGGGCCACTGTCACACCAAGGACCATGCACCCACCAGAGCCCCCGCATGCCTCCTGAAGACAGCCTCATGTCCCATGGGCCTTCTTGTCACCCTTGCTGTCAGTCCATCTAGCTGCTCTAACAACGGAGCCTTAGACTGGGAAACTGATGAACAATGGAAACTTATTGCTCACAGGCTGGAGACTGGTGAATACAAGACCAAGGTGCCAGCGGATTTGGTGACTGGAGAGGGCCATTCTCTTCCTCAAGATGGAGCCTTCTTCTGTCCCCAAGTGGCATAAAGGAAGGGCAGCTTCCTTTAACTTCTTTTATAAGGACACTAATCCCTCCTCATAAGAGTGACTGGTCACCCACTAAGGCCCCACCTCTTGTTCCCATCACCCGGGGGATTGAAGAGATGAGTCTGGGTGTTGCAGGGGACACCAGCCTTCCCACCAGGGCCCTCGTTTTGGGCAGGTGAGATTCTGAGCCCCTTGCACTGGTCCAGCTGGAAAGCCACATTTCTCCAACCCAGTCCTTACCGTGACAAAGAGCTGGGGTGCTCCTCTAGCTCACCGGTGCCCCAGCGCGGGAAGCCACATGGTGCAGGGAAAAGTGCCCTCGATGGTTCCCCCCAAACTTAGCAGCTGTAAGTGTCTCAGCCTCCACTTCTCTGGCCGAGGCTCAGCGGGCGCCACTGGCTCAGGGCCTCTCAGGAGGCTGCAGTTCAAGCTGTCGTCTGGGATTCCGAAGTCTCATCTGAGGGACCGACTGGTGGAGTGGGACGCTCTGTCCCCAAGCTCACTCAGCTGGTTGTACACGTTGATCCTCTGTCATGTGGCGTCCTCACAAGACCAACACCCCACTCCAGGAAGGATCAGAGACAGAGAGAGCGAGAGCGAGAGTGAGAGAGTGAGCAAGCTTGTGAGAGAGGGATCCCAAGGAGAAGCCAGTCTACCGACATAATCTTGGAAAAGAGTGCACATCGCTTGTGCCATATTTTCTTCGTTAGACATAAGTCCACTAGGTCCATCCCACTCTCAGGGGCAGGGACTACACAGGGTGCAAATAGCAGGACGTGGGGCCATTGGGCCCTCCTAGAGACCGCCCACCACCTTTCCCTTCCCCCCCTCGGCTCACCAACCATGGGACCCTTGTGAATTACTTCTCTTTCTATGGGCCTCGGTCTATCAGTCTGGGAGACGGGAATAATAATCATTGCTTGGAAGTGTCAAGTACAATAAGCACACAAGATGCATGTGATGAAGGGGCGTGGCCCAAAAGTCCCATTTCCTTTTCTTGAGGTCCCTTATGCAGTCCTAGCTGATGGCAAAGGGAGGGCCCTATTCTCTTGGGTGCCTCTAGGCCTTGTCAAGGGGACCAGGAGAGTCCCCATATCTCAGGATGGAAACTGGAACATTTATCTGAGGTGAACCACAGGTAGCAAGGGCACCTGAGACGGTGGCCCCTTCAGGGTGGTTGCACGGACTGCAGTCACCTCTGCAAATGTAATAAATTTGCCTTCAGGGTCTTTATCCCAAGCTTTTTTTGGTGGTGCTGGGGATTGAACCCAGGGCCTTGTGCATGTGAGGCAAACACTCTACCAACTGAGCTATCCCCAGCCCAATATCCCAAGCTTTTGATAAAGCAACTAAATGGCACAGAGGCCTGCCTGTGCTCCTTGGCACATCCTCCGATGTGGAACAACATGTCCTCTTCATTGCTGGCTGGCAGCACCCCCACAGATGTGATGGGCAGGGTCAGAAACACAAATCTAATTCTTGGTCCCTGGGCATGGCATGTCCCCTATCCCATCAGGACACTCTCTAGCCTCAGGCCCATCGTCAATTTGCTGATTTCATGTTTGTTTGTTTGTTTGTTTATGGTCTTGGGGTTCAACTCAGGGACAGTCCACCACTGAGCCTTGTCCCCAGCCCTTTCTAGTTTTCATTTTGAGACAGGGTCTCCTAAATGGCCCAAGCTAGCCTTGAATTTCAAAATCCTCCTCCCTCAGCCTCCTGAGTTGCTGAGATTACAGGCTTGTGCCCCTGCTCCTGGCTACTGATTTTGTTTAACTATGTTAACACGTGCGGTGATTTTACTGGAATTAAGAGGGGAGAAGGGCTACCTCCCACTCACCTCTTCCCTGTTGGGTCAGTTTTTCCCAAGTCTGTGCTATGTGTTGATGGTCCCTCTGTCCATGGAGGGTCCCTTCCACCTGCCTCACATCTTGCTGGCTCCAGTGATCAGGAGCTGCAGCAGAAATATCCAGATGATCCCTAAAAGGCTGTAATGAAGATATGGAGAACCTATCCCCTAAGACTCCAAAAGCTGCAGACGCCATGCCATCCAAAAGGAATTGCTGTAAAGGAGCCAAGAGTCAGCCTAAACAATGAACAACCACGGCCTTGGCCCGTCGAAGCAGCCTGCATCCACACCTGCTGGGCTCAGCTGCCTCTGCCCTCCGTCACCTCTGGTCACCTCTGGATCCACTGGGAAGGTGGGAGGCAGACAGTGGAAGAATGGCACAGGGTTCCCCACCAGGAAGCTGGCCTCGCTCTCCTCCTAGTCCCAGCCCCTGGAGCTCTTTCTCCAGACCTGTTCCCCAAATTATATTCTGGGTGCCCCAGTGAGAGGCATCACCCCGAACAAGGCACAGTGGACAGCAGTACCACTGTCCAGCTGGGCAGCAGCTCAGCCACACTGGGCTGCTGGAAAAGGTGGGGGACCAGGGACACCTACCTACTCTGTATCTCCCTCAAGAGGAGATCCAGGTCTTGGTGCAAAAACTAGCACAAGGGTAAGGAAGAAGGACAAGTTAAAAAAAAATGGTACCAACATTTTAAAAAATATCTATTTGAAACCTGGCTTAGATATCTGGGTTCAAGTGTAGGTGAGTCGCAAGGCCAGGCAGGAGAAGCCACACATCAGTCCTAAGCTGCTGCTGCTCTTCGTTCTGCATCGTATTTTCTTCCTTTTGGGAAGTCAGATGCTCAGAATCTCTGAGCCATTCAGGTTCTTCTCTGAGTGATGGTCTCTGCGTGATGGGATGTTTAATCCACTGAGAGACATTTCATTTTGAAAGCCTAGGGTCTGGGTGATGCTTCGCCTGAAGACATGGGTTATTTAAGAAATGGTGGGAGTTTTAGGCACGGGGAGTTCTTGATTGTTTAGGAGAGAGGGAAGGTCTTTGTCCATGAAAGAGGCTGGGCTGAATTGCTGAACCTTTCTCTCTGAACTAAGAACATTTCTGAAGAGCAGTGCATATTGTCCTTATAAACCCAGTCCTATTTTAAATTCACTGGCCAAGTTTGCCTGAGGATGTACAGTTGGCCCTCTGTATCCAAGGGTTCTGTATCCATGGATTCAGCCACAGATCGAAAATATTTGGAAAAGAATTGCATCTGCACTGAACATGTGCTGATGCTTTTTTTGGTGATCATTCCCTAGACAATACAGTGTAACAACTATTTGCACAACATTTACATTGTATTAGATGTAAGTAATCTGGAGGCGACACAAAGTATGGAGGTTACATGCAAATATTACGCTGTTTTAGGGTGTAAGATATTTAACATTTTACAGGTTCTGTGCATAGGTTATATGCAGATATCACACCATTTTATATAAGGGCTTGTGCATCCAAGGATTTTGGTGTCCATGGAAGGTCCTAGAATCTATCCCCAAAGGATACCAAGAGATGACTGCAGATTCTTCTTGGGGGTAGACGCTGAGGATGGTCGGTTCCTCTGACCACTCGGCTGTGCTGGACTCTGCTGTAAGTGCCAACACTATCTAACTTTTCCCACCAGCCCTGTGAGGCAGGTTCTATTAGTATCCCCTTTTACAGGTGAGGGGACTGAGGCACAAAGAGGCCAAGTGACTCTTGGGATCACTCAGCTAGTTAGTGGCAGATTTGGGATTTAAACCCACTTGACTTTACCTTCCAATAATGTTAGCCTGCAGCCTCATGGATCCCTAGGACCCTGACATGGTGTGACCACTTCCCTCTCTCCATAGGGGCCTTGATGTTTTCTACCCAGAGGTGGGAAATATCGCCTGCATGTTTATTCCTGACTGCAACAACTTCAGGCATAAGATCACCTACTGGATGGAGCCGATCGTCAAGTTCCCCGGAGCCCTTGAAGTGAGTGAGTTGGGCTGGCTGCAGGGGGTCTGGGGGTCTTGACTTCTTCCTGAGCTCCCTCTGCTGTGGGACTTGAAGCCACATGCAGAGCCATCAGCGTTGGGTCTGCTGGTACCAGAAGGCTGTTGCTATGAGGCTGTGCCTTCCCTATAGTGGCCTGGTGGCCTAGGGACAGAGTGGGGTGGGGAGGCCTGCAGACTGGACCCTTGGCAGTGCCATGCATCTTGATGCTTGGTTGTCACAGTAGGAGACAGCCAGGCTCTTCTTGTGCCCAGTCACCTGAAGTAGAAGATCAAAGTGTTTTAGGAATTGCAAGTGATTATTTCTTATTTCTTTCCCTGGGGAGTGATCAGTCCCATCCCTTTGTGGAAGCTTCCCTGGGCTTGGAGCTCTGGTGAGCCTGGGGAAGGGCCGTGGAAGTGGGAAGTGGGGCTGCGGCTCCCAGCGGTCACGCCATGTCCCCGGGAGGGAGACATTTCTTCTGAGAAATTTCTTTCTCTCTCGGCTCTGAGCTCACCTCTTGCTCTCTGCTGTTTTGCTAGTGTCAACAGGGACACAATGACTGTGATGTGGCCAGGACACAGGTCACTAACAGGATGAGACACAGGGATTGTGGCTAGGATGTGATTGTCATTTCTATGCAATGTGCTGGGAAGCACAAGGGTTGCTTCCTCTCTCCTGGTGCAGCCTGGCGGCCCCACACTCCCCTGGTCAGGCCTGACAGTGGCCAAGCCAAGCCCATCAAGGAGCAAGCTGGAGAGAGCAGTGTCACGTGGTTGAGGCGTCTTTGTTTGTCCAAGTGTTTGTCACTATCAGGGAACTAGTATGTTTCACAGCTTATGTGGCTAATGTCGGGAAGCTTCACTGATGGGTCCCGTTGGCAACTGTGACGAATGTCCTTTTCCTCTGGAAGGCTGAGCGAGCAGGCACACACATGCACACACACACCTGCACACACATCGTCCCTCCTCCCTGGAGACCCTCAACCAGGCCACACCGTGGACAACCAAGAGGAGCACAGAACAGAAGGCTGCTGTGCTTCTAGCTCCTGGGACAGGGTGGAGGGCCACCAAGGCAGGGCAGGTACCCAGTTCCTTAGGGACAAGTATATGCTCTCCCATGGGACAGGACTCGTGACTCTCCCATTAATTCCCTTGTCCTGGGGTTTTCACTTGCAGGGCCCCAGGAGGTCAGGCTAGATGCTTTCCCAATGATATCCCAGGAGGACAATCTCCCATGCTCCATTCCCTGAGCGGCTGTTGCCCAATATGTCCACTAGATGGCAGTGTAGACTTTTCTAGCTCCTGGAGTCCCTCCTGGGAGGGATTTGAAGACCGCTGGGGAAGTCCTGGGTTTGGGGTTTTGAGGATGGGATTGTCCTGAGGTATGGACACAACAGAGAAGATACTGCATCTGTCACACCCTGAAATGAAATCTTTCACTGTCAAAAAACCCATCCTGTCTCAGCCCAGGGCTAGGTGGGGCAGAAAACTGGTCTAGAGTTATGGAAGACAGAGGGCTGTGTCAGAGAGAGCCCAGGAGAATAAAGACTTTGTGAAGGAAGGTCTGGTTGAAGCAGTGGGCAGACAGAAAAAGTAGTATCCTACTCCCACAGCACTATGGTTTACAGAAACGTAACAGACCATGAGAAGGCAAAGTCGATGACCAAAAGCTGCCCTTCATAGAGTGCTATTTAGACTGGTTGTTATTCATGTTGTCATTTCATTCAATTCTCTTATCAAGTCTGCAAGCTAAGTATTTCTTTAGTCAAGATTGTTAGTGGCAAGTGACAAAAAGCCAACTTAAACCGGCTGAAGTCAAAAGAAAGGGGAGAACTTGCTAATAAAAAACTAAACAAAAAACCCTCCAGACATAACTTCAGGTCTGGTTGGAGCTAGGTGCTCTAACTATGTCACAGGGATCTTTCCATCCATCTCTTGACTCTGCTTTTCTCTCTGCTATTTTTACTTATAAATAGACTCTCTCCTGCGATGACAAAAATGGCCCCAACAGCCTCAGGCTTAAGTTTGACCAGTTTATCAATCCCAGTGGGAAAAGATGGATTCTTCCCAACCATTGAAAGTCCCAGGATCTGTCCTGCTTGGATCACACGCCCACCCCTAAACCAAATGGTGACTCTGGGCAGCCCCAGGAGAGTAGAGCAGAAGAGGGCCGTTCTGCCGCAGGAGCACCAGGTGCTGCCTGTGCGAAGGGTCAGGCGGGGAAGCAGCAGTTCCGGTGGAAGTAAGGGGCCGGCCGGGGCAGTGCTGGACAGTGGCCTGCCCAGCTCCAGAGCCCACGGGCCTGAGTATGGACCCTGCAAGGTCCGCTGAAGCCGAGCAGAGCTGGCAGAGCTGGGGGCTTGCTGGAGGGAAGCCTCCCCAGTCAGTGTGGGAGGGGGACAGAGGACAGTCGCTGCTAAGGAACCTGGGGCTGGAGCTTCCTCAAGGGCTCCAGGGGACAAACCTGCCCTTAGAGAGGATGCAGGTGCACCCTGGGAACAGGGTCCCTCAAAAATGGGACAGGAGAGGGGAGGAACCCCAGTCCTACAGAGAAGGAGGAAGCCATTTCCGCAGGGCCCTGGCCTGAGGGAGGAAGGCAAGAGTGGGTGACTGGCTAATCGGGTCAGCGCCTTGTTTCCAAGGTGATTAAAACGGCGCCACCAAGGCCTCAACTGCCAGTGGACAGGCCGAGGGTGCCCCCCAAGCAAGGCCCGAGGCCCTGGCAGGAGGGGTGCAGTGGGCGTGGGTCAGCCTCCACGCCTTGGCCCAGGCTGCTCACCCACCTGTGGGCCCTTCTCCCATCCTGAATCCTCCTCCTCCTCCTCCAGGACCCCTTTGCTGACTGCCCCTCTCTGGGCCTGGCCCCCACCCCTGGCTGATGGCTTCTGGCTAAGACTCTTCAGTGTCTCCTGCCCAGCGGGAGAGGAGACAGGGTGTTGGCTTTGTTCTGCCTGCCCATTCATGTCCCTCACAGCTGCAACCACTTTGTAAACACTAGGAGATCCAGGAGGCCGGGTGCGGCATTTCCTGGCATCACCCACAGCTCCTGCCAGCAGCTCAGGTCCCATGCTGGGCCACAGGGCGAGTGAGTGCATGGTTGAGTGAATGGATGGTGGGAGGAATGGACAAGTGAGTGGCAGGCAGAAGGACCCCTCCCAGAGTGCAAGCCCCAGCTGGGTAAGCCCCAGGGTTTGTTGTTTGAGCTTCCAGGAGTCCTGAGCATGTGCAGGAAAGCTGCCGAGCCCAGGGGACCACAGACAGCAGCACAGAGGTGGAGCTGGGGTTGGAAAGGAGAACCAGGGAGGGAAAGAGAGGAGGGGGTGGTGGTGTTGGGAGCAGAGCCCGCAAAGTCATGCTTCTTGAGCACCGTGGCTGGGAGCTGAGAGCTGCGGAAGTAAGTGGAAGCTTTTCTCCTCCTGATCGCTGACAAACATTAAGAGGCCAACATTTTAAATGCATCCCGTCCTTAAAGCCAATGAAAACTGAAAGGACCCTGCGAAGTGTCTTGACTGGGGCTTATTCTTCACCTTAAATCTAACCAGCTGGAATCCTTTTGAAGGGAAGAAATTGCCGTTAAGTGGGGAACGTGCACGCATTAGAGGGAAGGAACAAAAGCCACAGCGCTCTGTCCTGCTGTCCTTCAAGTTTCTAATCAGGCGCCAGAAAGCAGGTGTCCCTGCGCGTCCCAGGCTGGGCAAGTGCATCTCCCGCCCCGGCTGCAGCTGCGCGTGTTGCTGCCCCCTAGCGGCGAAACAAATTTCAACACCAAATCGGGAGCAGAGGAGGCGCCCAGGTCCTCCGCTGGGCAAGCGCTGGGCAAGCGCTCTACCAGTGAGCTACAGGGTTTCACTAAGTTGCCCAGGCTGCCCTGAGTATGTGATCCCCCTGCCTCCTCTTGAGTAGCTGGGATTACAGGGTGCACGCCAGCCACCTCTTAAACACCACTTTTTAGAGGCTGAAGATATGGAGCCCTACCTACAGGGTGGGGAGTCACAGGCTCCTCTCTGAAGCAGACCCCAAGCTCACCAGACAAGCAGGAAAATGAGGGCTGCTGCTGCTGCTGTCACAGAATAATGGACCCTGTCAGGACACTGGGCTTCCAATGCCCATGGTGGTTTCAGTAGAGCAGCCCCTGGTGGCCGCAGCTGATCCCTGGGCTGGGGGCAGGTCTTCCTTGCAGAGGGTGAGAGGGATACATGCGACCCTCAAAGGCAGGTTTTTGCTTAGGGCACTGCAGTCACAAATGACTTGGCATTACTCACGCTAGCACCACAAGCCTGGCCCCCTGGTCACACTGTCAATCCAAGGATAAAAGACACCATTACAGAGTTTCCAGGATGCTGGGGGGAGAGACAGGTAGCTGGCAAACAGAGAGTCACAGGGTGTCCATGAGTCAGCACCTGGCAAGGGACAGGCACACAGGGGTCAGGATGGCTAGGGGAGGGATGAGGCTTGGGAGAGGGCAGGGACATACCACAAGGAGACAGAAAGCTGGGTGGGCCCCAGCGTGGTGCATGGATTGTAACTGAAGTCAGGTGGGTGGTGGTGGGGTCATCATGTGATGGTTAGACTGGTGAAGGTGGTCAGTTTAGCAATTCTGGAAGGTCACCTGGCAGCAGGTGGAAGAATGGAGAGAAGGTGAGCTTGAAGGCAGGAACGTGAAGTGGGGTAAGAGATGTTAGAGAGGTGGAATCCATAGGGCTGTGGGTCTGTGGGGGCCAGGGTTTCTGGGATGGTGGGTGAGGGTGAGATGGAGCATATAATCTATCATCCCAAACAAGACCCTGTGAGGGTCAGGCGGGGGTGCTGTTCATAATTATACCAGGATGAAGGGTGTCTTTGGGCACATGGGGTCCATGTGCACTACAAGCTGTAGTGGACATGGACCCCAGTGACCCTGAGAATGGTGCCTTCATCAGGCAAGGGAAGCAGGGGCCAGCAGCCAGCAGCAGAGCCGTCTATACACACCAGATCTGAGGACACTGTGCACACCCAGAG